TTTTGAGTGCACACTAAAGTTCTGCAGTTGGATCCTTTTTTTTTGCTTCAAGTGCAGCCCGACTAAGGATACAGCCATTTCTTTCATTAATTCCCTTGGAAAAAATTCTGCAATAAGGTCTTATGTCTACGATGACTGGGTTGTTTTAAGAAAGGGAGTTATCAGCTTCTGGTGTTTTGATATCCCACAGTGATAAAAATCTATCGAAAAAAGTATAATATTTGCAAGGAAAAAGTGTTTTTCAAAGGCTGAGAGAAGAGAAATGTGCATTTCTTATGCTATAGAAACACAACACTTAAAGCTAGTCACACTTCAGGTGACATCCCGAATGATAGTATTCAAAGTTCTATAAAAGATGAACAGGAAGGATAATGTTTACTTCCATGCTCCAATAAGTCAAATGTAAATCTGCATAGAGTTGCGCTGTAGCAGGTTTGCTTGGTCCATTTAAGAGTTCAAGCTCCTTTTTGGTATTGTGCCACTGATGTCCAGCATCAGATAAATTCGTTCAAAAGCGAAATGTAGGCAAGAGATCCATATAACAAGAGCAAGGATATGCTACTAAGAAGTTGCTGTCCTTCCATGGCTAGAAGCAGAAATAAAAAATTTTGAGAGAAAAAACTCGCAGCCATCCAATAATCAGCAGTGAGAAGGATTCCTACCATTCCTCTGAACAACAGAAAAAAAGGGAGGTGGGAAAAGTATTGTGGATTATAATGTAAGAATTTGATAATCCACATGTGGAACAGAAAGCAGAACATGATATATTTTTCAATTGCTAAAATGTACCTCACGTAATTTAATGGGCTTGATTTACTTCGACTGATAGACAAAAGTCCATTAAGACTACATGTGTGCCTTTTAGAGATACACAGTTTCTCAAGCCTGGCACGCTGAACATTTGCTGGACATATCTTGTCCGAGGGGGATGTTGCTGCCGCATTGTTAGATGTTCAGCAGCATCTCTGCCTGCTGCCCCATAACATACCGAGTAGTACGCTTTCTCATAGCTGTGACCAAAAATTACCTGCCAGGACAGTGGCCCAATGTCCCTTGGAGTAAAATATTCCTGCTGAGGAATTGTTTATTCATTATAGAATAATTTCTGCAAATCAATATATCAGTCTAAGAAGATGGGAAAGTTACAATGTAAGTAGTTTCTTACACTGAAATATGAAAATATGTTTAGTTCAACGAGGAGATTACTATAAGCATCATCTTGCCAACGTCTTAGTATCAAGAATAAGATTGATATAGCTCTTCTGCCTAAACACTCCATTTAAACCATTTTTTAATTTGTGGAGACAGGCTCCCCTCTGTTGCCCAGGGCTAGGAATGCGGAGTGGCATATCACAGCTCACTCAACTTCACTCCTGGGTCAGAGATTACTCTCACCTGGGCGTCCCAAAGTGCTGGAATTTAGTCATACCCAGCAGTACCTTAGCTAATTTTTGTATTCTTTGATGAGAAATGAGGTCTCACTGTGGCTCAGGCGTGTTTGGAATCCTGGCCTCATCTTCCAATCCACCTCCCAAAGTGCTCAGATTAAGGTGGACCATGTCCAGCTCACTTTAACTTCTAAGTGAAACAAGCTATGAAATTAGTTGGGTGCAGCGTACCAAAGGAGGAGCTTGTACCGTTGAAGAGATTACCTGCCTAAAAGACTTGATCAGCGTGAGATTTAACTTTTTAAAAAAGCCTAAGTCTGATCATTTATAATTGTACGACGCATATTAGAAGACTGCTACAGAAACACGAGCTGCTGAGGAATGGTAGGCTGTATAGTCTTTGTCATCAAAAAGAATGTTTCATTTTTAGTTAAAAGCTACACAATAAGAGAGTTTTGTTTTCGCATACAATGTGATATTGCCCTGAATGTTTCAAGGGGAATTAGACATGACTACAAAAATCACACAGGGTAAGCATTAATTTTAATACTCTAATGATTTGAACTTTTTAATGTAGTATTAATTTAACTCAGCCAGCTGAGTCATTGTGTTACCACTAGGTAGTACTGATAAATAAACACAAATATGAATTCTTGATTCAGAGTTAAAAGCAAGAGGATGCGTATAAACGATTAATAATTTGTTCTCTTTCTACTGTTCATCACCAAGAAACATTGTACCACAGTTCTTACCTACAAGAGGCACTATCTCACATGTTGCTGAATCAGTGATTTGTCATCAAATGAAGATGGGTGAATCCTATTAACAGAATGGTCAATCAAAACCAAAATAAAGATCAAGTACTTACTGCAAAGAAAATCATCACTGCAAAGCTGGAAGTAGGATCAGGATAAGCACAATATCAAGACGACTTGCCACACAACAAATGAAAACCCGTCATAACTCTTAGTTCAATAAACAAACGATTCCTAGACATCCAATGCACTGGCTCCTATACATGCCACTGGATTTGCCAGCCTGCGATAAAAGAAAGATACAGTTAAAGGCAAAAAATCAGGTGATTTTGGCCTTATTCACCTAAGAGGATGTACATTATAGAAGATAAAATTCAGAGCCTCAAAATCTACTAGTATCGGTATACATTAAGCAGAGAAGTAAAAGTATTGAGCAGAGCAGTTTTGGTTACATTTCTTATTAACCTTTAAGGTACACAGGTATTTTGAGACACCTGGCAAGGAATATAATGAAGATATTTCTTTCTTTCATCATGTCCCTTAATTGTAGTTTGATAAGTCCTTAGATAAGAGGCAACACAAAACAGAAAACCTTAAAACATTCTACTTTGTAAAAGCAGTCATGAAGACAGTCTGGGGGTAGGAGAGCGGGGGGAAGAGCTGGTAAGGATTTGAGCACGGCGGGGAGAGTTGAGTGCGAGCGTTGTGTGAGACAAGGAGGTGTGAGTGTGAAGTGTGCGAGCGTAGTCAGCGAGAAGCGCGAGGGCGCGTGAGCGAGAGAGCGCTGAAGAGGCGCGTGTGTGGGCTGAGGTTTTGTGGCATATAAAAGTCAGTCACGGAGGAAGGGTTCTGTAGGGAGTGTGATGTGAGTGAAGAAGAGAGATCCCTGGAGTGTTTTGTGTAGAGTTGCAGCTGGATGATTTGTGGTAAGACGGAGTGGTGAGAGGGTGCAGAGAGTGAGAGAGAGGGAACTCAGCTGAGTTCACGGTACGAGACATTCATGAATTCACTCATGTGTAATAATTAAAACCCTCTATACTTGCACGTGTTTTACTTGGGTTGAATGTATTCTCACATAACCTGCTTCTGTTATCTTCAGAAAACAATACTGTTAGTAGGTTATTATCTATCAGAGGGGAGCTGAAAATTAAATGACTTGGTCAATGCAGAAGGGTAAGGAACACTAGTCAAGTCAGACTCGCTCTGCTAAAATCCCATTTCGGTATCCATGTATTTCTTTCTGTTAATTCAGAGGCAAGATAGAATAAACAATATGAACAATGTATTTTGCAATTTTTTTTTTGTTTCAATATTCTGTAATATTCTTGAAAACGCTCAGCGCGGGATGGCGGGAGAGGGGGGGGGGGTGCGGGAGAGCGGGAAAGGCTGTGGGGCGGGGCAAAAGAAGAAAAAAAAGAAAAAATGGGTGAGAGAAAATAATATATAGAAGTATCATCAGTATGTACTACAATAAAAACATAGACGCGAGAATGGGTATAGAGAGTTTAAAAAAGATGCTATATTTAAAAGAAAAAAGAGCAATGGTTAAAAGTTTTGTCCAATCTCTGCATAAGTAAGAGAATTCTGATGAGTGAGCGTATGTGATGTTATTTATTATTTATGTTTGTTTATTCCTAATAAGACTTACTTTTTGCCATAAGAGATGAAGATTTTTAATACACTATGCTTAGATGACATGGCATGAAAGTGGATGAAGAGTATATACAAAAGCAACTGCAGTAGCTATTCAAAAACAAATGGAAGACTTGGAGGCATAAGTAGAATTCAAAAAATGTTTTAGTGGACATTTAAAGGTTGTTGTTTAACTCGACACTGAGAGCTGAACTAAAATCTGAACCGTAACAATGTATCTCAAAAGCAAGCAAAAAACCATTGTCCTGCCAAATCAGCTCATGCATAATGTGCCCATCTCCACTTTTAAGGGAGTGTAGCACTGTAGTGTTTTTTGCCAGATGTGTCAAAATTGATTTACCGATAACTCTAAGGAAGAAAAAGAAGTTAATTAGGATTATGAAGATAGTACTTTGAATTTGCAGGATCGGGTATTATGTGTTGAACAGAGACAAGGATAGGTATCTTAGCATCAAAAATAGGAGTAGTAACCAGGATGATATTGATTTTAGTGGCGGAGTTCTCGATACCAGTCTTCACTGCTTGTGGTGCTGTATCCTACAAAATGTTTCTAGTTTGTTGTTGGAAAAGTATGGTAGTATGGAATAAAGCAGAGCAAAAAGAAAGAAAAAAAAAAAAAGAAAGGAAGGACGAACATCGGAAACAGGTTAATAGTAAGGGTTTTTTCCTGGACTTCAAGAATAACTGAGCCCGATGGAAATTGTTTACAAAACTATGTCTCTCATATATATGTCTGCATTTTTCTGAGGAGAGTATTCACAGCTTTCATTAGACTTTCAAAGGGTAGTATAGTGGCCCCCCCCCCCCAAAAAAAGTTCAGAACTACTGCTTATAGCTTTGGAATACAATTTGAAAACCACCATATTTTTGCAGTGATTTCACTAGTTGTACAGTTATGTTCCATGTAGAATACAGACACCCTGCTACGTCCTTTTACTTCTTCATCTATTAGAATTTATTACGTCAGTTAAGGTCGACGTCTCACCAACATTACTGTCAGTTATCTTATCTGTTAAAAATCTGGTCCCCTAGGGCCCAATGTAATTTCAAATACACTCTGTTGAAAATGAGTTATTTGGTAGAAAATTTATTTCTATAAGATTATTCTTTTAAAGGAAAAAAAACAACAGCTCCAAATTAAGATTTATTTTCATTGACCAGATGGATACTATGGAGTACTATCGAGTGTTGCAACCAATCCTACCTTCTAACAAAGGGGGCTCATCCTCGAAGTTGTTTCCATAGAATGGCTGAGGTGAAGCTGGCGTGTACGCCTGTGTTGGCTGGAAAATCTGCCCAGTGTACGGCTGCTGAGGCGGCATCATGTCTGGCGGGACAAACCGGCCTTGCTGCGAGTAGTCATAGCCAGCATACTGTCTATAAATCAAATGAAGTTAACCTTCCCAGAAGTATTTCAAGCCCTGGACAGTTGGTTTCTCTTAAACTCCTAAATTTTCATTTGACAGCTAGAGAATCTTAGTCATGCCATTCCTAAGATATCTAGTTTGCCAGTTTTTGTAAATGGTGGTTGAAATAATGAATAAGATCAAGCTGATTATCTGCAACGAAAAGTCATCTTTCTTATAATCTTCCTGATAGTGCCAATATTCACTTATATATAGCACTTAAGCATTTTACAAACTATAAAACTTAGATGTTAGGAGGTCAACAAATGAAAACTTTAAAAATTTTGTCTATTATTCTCGCTTAGTGAGTATATATAAGATATGCTGTGAAATAAAATTCATGCCTCAGACTATGAATTAAAACAGGATGACAGACTATGTAGTATATGTTATGTAATTTTCCATTATAATTTGGATACCCTTTGAATTATCACATTTCTTTACTCTTTGTGGTATGTTATTTTTTTCAAGTGGACAAATCTCTTCAAAAACCACCATCAATTTCAAACCAGAGTGGAAAAATCAAGCTTTTTCTTTGTGAAAACTTTCTGAAACATTATTAGTACATTTTGCAGTACTTTTAAGTTTTCAAAGTAGTTGTATATCTATTGTCTCCTTTGATATGTTCTATAGCAAGCCTTGCACTTAGAGGGAAAGCCTTTACCATGACTATTTTAGTGACCATGACAAAGGGAATAAAAGGATACTGAAGCCACATCTCCCTCTTTTTAATTATTTCAATAGATTTAGGGGTACAAGTGATTTTTGGTTACATGGATGAATTGTATAGTGGTGAAGTCTGAGCTTTTGGTGTACCCATTACCCAAATAAAAAAAAATAAAAAACTGTGCCTGATGAGTCATTTTTCAGCCCTCACTGCCCTTCCCCGCCCCCACACTCTGTATGCTTCAGTGTACTCATAGTGAAGCCACATCTTTAGACATCTGTTTCATGATATTTAGGAATAATATGACTTATCAATGGTACTAATCTAATTATACAGTAAGAAATACAGACTTGAAATTATTATTTTATTTTATTTTCTTTGAAATTATTATTTTAAAAAATGAGAGCTGAGAAGCCTTCGAAATCCTTTAATCTAATACCTTTTAAATTTTTATAGTCATATGGTCAGTTGTTTTCCTTGAAGTGATAGGCTCACTTCATCCATTTTTGAGAAAATATTTATGAAATACTCAAGTCTGAATAACCATAGTTTGTCTGTTACTTGTTCTTTCAAATAAAAATGGTCTATATAAAAAGCAGCCAGTTCAACTTGCAACTCAAATTGCACAGGTGCATTTCCTACAGTTGGTCATCATGCTTTAGTATGGAGAAGTGCTTTATGACTGTTTTCTATTTTGTCACAGAGAATATTAAAGAAATGTGTGTATTCAAGGGTCAGGATTTAATAAAATAATTCTTACTGCTTCTTCAAGGAAATCTTTAAATGAAACTGAAAGCAACGACTACTAGAACAATTTGTTGCTAATGCCTTGATTCATACTCAGACCAGCAGTTTCACCAAAGATTGCTTGACAACATCACAGTAATCGTCAACACACCTAAAAGGTATATGATATCTTACTATTGTTATGCAAACAACTTTTGACCTTAGAGATTCCCTGAAAGGTGTTAAGAACCCTCTGGGATTTATAGTCCACACTTTGAGAACTGTTGATAAAGACTCATAAATTTCAAGTAAGGAAGATAAATAGTGCAAGCCAACAGTGGCACCATCATTCCCTTTTCAAGATGCAAGGTGAGAAAGGTAACACCATGGAATTTTACTATTTTCCTTTTCTGGTAGGACGTGTTCAGGAAAATGTCTGATTCACTCCTGCTAGTTTTACACTAAAACATGATAAGGCAGACACAATCTTTATAGACTAAAGCAATACACTTTTGTGACAGGGAAAAGTAGCACATACTAAATCAATACTCTCATAAGCATGCTGTACCAACAACAAAAACAAAGCTATCAGTTAAGTGGAAGAAGAAAAAATGATAGCTTTCAATACATTAAAAATATGTAACTGGCATTACTACATATCTTACAGGTATACCTAGAATACAATGTGGGACCTGTCCAATATGACATTCATATAACTCAACAAGTTATGATCAAAAGGCCTTAGCTTTTGGGTTTTTTGGGTGTATGAATGTATGAATGATACCTGTGAAGTAGCCATAGAGAAAACCACAAAATACTAAAGCTGAGTTTATAGGGCAAATGCAGAACTGAGGACTAGTAAAAGTCAAGTCAAACTTAACACAAGTAATATGCTAAATGAACCTAGATTTTCATTAATAGAGAGATAAAAGTTATCAGTTGATCTTTGTTATTGTGTTAGTAAACCAAACAAAATAGTATTTGGTAAGCTGAGATGGACATTTAAAATGTCATTAGGTTGCAGATCTATTTGAAGGTACATATAGAAGAGTCCAATTTTTTTATAAAGCTCAGAAACCCAAATATATTACTGCTAATACTTTAGGCTCCTTGTTCTCCCAGGCATCATCTATAAACCTATGTTTGTTAACTGGTAGTAATGGTTGCATAATCCTCTGGAATAAAACTTCACTACTACTGAAGCAATGCTTAATGGCACATGATTTGGTTGGAATGGAATTATGAAAGGAGCTAACAACAAGTGCTAACTAGCAACAACTTATTTAGAATATCTAAACAATTGCTGTCTGGAGAACTGAAATGAGATGATTGTTAAGTGGAATGAGAAAATAAGTCACACCTTTGATATAAACATGGACAAGACAGAAAAGAAAAGCAGAGACAGATAAACCTAGGAGGCTGCAATCTAAATTAAATAGTTTTGTTGAGTCCATATATAAACACCATTTGCTTAAAAACAGGCCTGCATACAGAAACAGGTTCTCCAAAGCCCTATTGCTGCTTTAGGCAAGAATTCATTAGACGGACTCTGGCCAATCTTATATTCATTTGCATGCCCACAGGCCAATCACCAAAAATACATATTTACATAAATAAAAGAACAGAAATATCTCAATATGATTTTTCCAATTTTGCCCAATTGATCAAGAGATAAATCCTCATTGGTGTGTAATTGAGAATTTAACAGAAAAGAGAAAAGTGATTTAATTCAAACACATTCTAGTATTGCATGTTTCTCACAGACTGACTGGATATACCACCTTTCCTTGCCCTCACCCTGGGGATAGTCTTCATGAGGTTTTTATTATAATTCAGGATCCATGGATGAACATCAGGTGACCGATGCATTGTCTGAGTTACATGCACATTTATGTGGGTGTTTAAGTGAGCGCATGCATATATTATGGAAAATAGGTCCATAGTTTTCATAAGATTGTTAAAGAGATCCAGAACCATCTTAAAAGGTTATGCAACCCTAGTATAGGAAATTCTGTTGACAGGAGGCTGATAAGATACTTTGTTAAGGTTCTAAGGAACTAAGAATAAGATGTCCTAGAAGAGATTGTTAGAAAGCTTTCAGTTCATGTATTTTTGCCAAAACTCCAGACTGTAAAAAGACCATTTTTTTAAAACAGTTTAAAGTCTAAAGGCTTTAAGTCTCCCTCTTCAATCTGCAACTGACAACTTCTGTGATACTGACCATTAGGTTTCAGTATCAGGAGTAATAAAAATTATCAACTACTATATGAAAATCACCTAATGATTCATAACAGTGAGCTTACACTGTTAAACAGTGTCACTAAGCACTTTCAATTAGTGTTGATAAAGTCTGAAAGTTGGGCTGATTTAACTATTAAAAGATTTTAATTTTTAACTAGTCTCATGGATTAATAGCCTGTCTTCTATGTACTTGAAGATCCCCTCCTCATCTTAAATGATGTAGAAATACAGTTACTAGGAAATAGTTCTTCAACAAGCTACTTTCCCACTCATGGCACACCTGAAGATTTTGCAGAAGATACCAATCTCTAAATAGGGCAACACCTTCAAACCCAAACCGGTGTCACAGATCTCTCCAGGGGAAGTAGGATCATGAAAAATCACATTCTTGATAAAGGACATGTTCACACATTCATTTTCAGGCAGAATCAAACATTCCAAATATGTGTTTTTCCTGCAATGCAGACTAAATTAATTGCAAAAGATGAAAAGTTACTTGCTATAGGGTCCTCCACTTCCTCCATAATCATAGGACTGTTGTGATTGGTCATCGATGCTGTAACTTGTCTGGTAGAAATCCGTGTTTAAGTTTTCAAAGCCTGACATTGCAAATGATCTGTAATAAAAGAGAAACGGCAAATACAGCTTATACCCAAGGTCCTATTGAATTCGTTCCCGGCACTTTGCTTAAGCAAACATGCTCATGAGACACCAAATATTTCTTCAGTAATCTGGGGGTGCAGCATTTGGAGGGCGATATACGGGAAAGACTAAGGAAACGTCTAGTCTGTGAGTTGAAGCCCGTGAAGACACCTCTAACTCAAGGAGCTGAGGATACGCCTTCGGTTGGGTGCTAGGTCGCGGGAGGAGTGGTTTACACAGGGGTCCAAAATATCAGTAATAACACAGATGACTCTTCGCTTCGGTAAAGGCCTTTTCAGCTGACAACGCGACTGCCTCTTGCAAAATAAGGTCTGCCGGGAAAGAGCAGAATCTTAGAAGGTCGCGCCTTAAGTGTAGTGGTGGGTTCCGAGAACTGGCTTGAAAGGGATCGAGGGTCTTAGCGAAAGGACCAGGGCGCGGCGCCGAAAGTCGGCAGCAAGCCGAACTACAAGGGGTGTGGAGAGAAGCCGAATAGCGCGCCGCCGGTCTAGGACACTCACCAAACGTGGCGGCGGCGGCGGTGGTGGCGGCGGCGATAGCTCCAGCAGCCCCCCCAAAGCCCCAAACTCAGTTTCAGACCCTGAACTGGCCCCGTTGCTACGTGTCACAGGGCCAAAGAACTGCTTCCGGGGCACGCCCGCTCGCGCAGGCGTGTTGGCAGGTCTTGGGTTCTCTGGTTGGACAGCTGTAGGCGCGCGGGGAAACCTAACGTGGAGCATGCGCAGTACCGGCCAACTAGGTCTGTGGCAGGCCAATAGGAAGAGGGAAAGTGCTTCCGGCAGTCTGGTTAGCAGCGGAGTCAGCAAGGCGCAGGCGCAGCAATTGCTTGTTACTAGTTAGGAGGAGGGGGCATTTCTCAGCAGACCAAGTACCTGGAGGAAGGCGGGGAAAGGCTGAAGTGAGAAAGACGGATGCTCCTCCCTCTCCCGTCCACAAACTTCGGTTTCTCTGGATTTACTGTGATTCAGGCATTGTGCTAAAGAGTTTATATGTATTATTTAATCTTTACAACCTAATGAGATGGTTACTCTATTACTTTTCGTGTATAAGTGAGAGTATTTGTTAAGTCTTCACTCATTCTGTGCTAGCTGCTGGGGATACTACGGTAAATACAAGCTGGATGGGATCTGCCCACCTGGAGTGGGTGGGGGAGAGGGGTAATGAAACACATAAAATGCATGTAAAATTGCTACTAATATTCTTAAGTGCTTCCTAAGTCTTTGAAAGGGTGTAAAATTCATCTTGAAAGAAGAGTCTAGAAAGTCACTGAGAGGGTCGTAATCAAAGGGTGAGTGAGAGAGAAGAGGGAAAAAGAGAAAAAAGGAAGGGTAAAGAGGGAGAATGAAGAAGAGCCTGAATATTTCTTGAAGAGGACAATGCGTGCAAGGCCTGGATGAGGGAAAGCGTGGTGTGAGAACAAAGCAATTCAGGGTTTCTGAACCTCTGTATTACTACATTTTGGTCCAGATGGTTCTTTGTTGGGGGCTGTTGTGTACATTGTAAGATCCCTGACCTCTAGCCACTAGATGCCAGTAGCACCCCTCTCCCAAGTTGTGACAACTAAAAATGTCTCCAAAAATTGCCAACAAATGTTCCTGGGGTGGCGGGTGGGGGGCCATAACTCAGCTAAGTTTGGGAACCCTTCCTCTATAAGAAGCCCAGGTGATTGGAGTAGCAAGTGACGGAAACCATAGGAGTTCAGACTGGAATGACAGGCAGAGGCCAGGAAATAGCCTTGTGGGATTTATGTGCTGGTTCTAAAGGAAATGGGAAACCACGAAAGGTTATGAACCGAGGAGTGATGTTTAGATTACTTCCTTCTGAAAAAAATTGCTTTGGCTGCTGTGTTAAATCACTTTTTCAAGGTAGTTAGGATCCTGAATATCATAACTCCAAATACCATGCTATTTAGCAATGAACAGAACCATATTCAGGGTTTATAGTATCAAGACTAACACCATAAGCCCTTGCATTATATCTTGGGATCAAAATCCTGTGGTCCTCATAAAAGAAGCCAGACCATTGTTCTGGGACCAGTTTCCAAAAGAATAATAAAATTTCACTGGTTAAAATTTTCTTTCAACACACACCCATCAAAATAAACAAAAAACATACTTCCCTCCAAACAAAAATAACAAAATCAAGAGGACATAGAACCAAACCAAAAAACCCAAGAGTATATTCTGGACACCAACAGGAAGCTACTCTGAGTTTCCACTCCATCAGTGAATTTATTTTTTTCATTCTCTAATTTTTATGGATTTGTAATAGTTGTACATATTTATGGGATACATTTGATATTTTGATACAAGCATACAATGCATAATGATCAAATCTGGGTAACTGGGATATATCCATCACCTGAAACATTTGTCATTACTTTGTGTTGAGAACATTTTGAATCTACTGTTTTAGTTATTTTGAAATATATAATAAGTTATTGTTAACTGTAGTTGCCCTATTGTGCTACCAACCACTATATATCTTATTCCTTCTATCTAACTGTATTTTTTAATTTCTGAAATTGCTCATGCAGCTATTTAATTTGATACTTTTTACCAATCATTTTATTATTTTTTGATTTAGGTATCGTCTCTATGACTTTAGGTAGAATGACCATGTATTATGATTTGCTGGAGACAGTCCCATTGTCCCATTTTATGCCTATTTTTTCCCCAGCATGATTATTAATATTGTCCTTTTTTCACTGGATATTTCAAAAATTTCCCAATTTGGTTGAAAAATTATTTGATTGTGCTTTCTTTAGGCCACATTATCCATGAAGCTGAGATTCTTGTCATCAACAAGATGCAATAATCCATCACTTTGTGTACTTAATGATTGCATGGTTGAAAAAATTCTAGTTTCTCGTTTCAACTGATATTTCTATTCTGATCCAAAAGAGATATCACTCTCAAATTTGAATGAAATTCAAGAATATGAGCATTAAAAATTGCCTGCTTAGAAATGAATTCTTGGATATAGATTTTATTCAAATTATGCTTCTGTCTGTGAAAGCAATTAACATTTAAATTTTTCCCAATTGAGAAGTTAAGTATGAAAATTGAGTTACCAGATTGGATTTTCTGTATTGTCTGACTTTGAAACATAAGCCAAGGTATCCTACAGAAGTCTTTTGGGGATTTTGAGAACATCAGTTAATTTCAAGGCTAGTCATATAGGACTTTCTTTTAGGAAAAATAGATTTTTTTTTTTTTGGTGTTGTTCCCATACTCTGGGGTAGGCCCCATAAGGTAATATTAAAGGAAACTGGAGTACTTGGCAAATGTACTGACCTCTGTTAAAGTCATCAAGCTGGCTTTCCTAAGAGTAGAAAGCCTCAACCAGGTCAAGAGATGATGGAACATAAAAGTGGCCCTTTAACAGCTACCAGATCTTCCCTGGGACCTAATGTATCAATAATCAAATGTGTAACAAAAAAGGAAACAACATTCTATTCATGAATAATATCATTTGATTAGATTGACTTTCATGCTAGTATTTGTACTAACACTTTCACACTTCACAAATTTACAAAATTATACTGTTTTCTTAGGGTGTGGTGAAATTATACTTAGGTATTTTAGAGGTGCCTTCTTCCCCCTCTGTTTTATGGTCACGATGTCATGGAGAATTGTGCCAGAAAATTATGATTTGAACATGGGCAGTTTTTTCTTACCTTCACATATATCCACAAGCACTAAATAAGGTGGAGATTTGGCAGCTGTGTGCATATCACGTCAAGTTCCACACTGAAACCTGGTAGTTAGGGTAAAAACCAGTATAAGAGCCCAATCAATGTCTATTTTCACTATCCGTGCCTATTAATTATGTAACCCCATATCCCAAATATGACAGCTAAATTTCCCTCAAATTATCCTTTATCCCTTACAAAAGAGTTTCCTTGTCAAGTCTCCTATATTAGAGATGTTCAAATTCTGCTTCTGTTATTTCAATTATTTTACTTCAAACAATAAATTGTTGTTTAGGAAAGACAGATTTGCCTGTAATGATACTGAATGTTTTTGGACAGAACCGGTTTTTATAAGCCAAAGAAATTTAACCATGATTTAATAATTATTCTTGGAACTCTGACTTCAGTATTGAAAGTGCCATTTTGTTTTTTAAAAAATTCTTAAAAGATAAATTTTAAAGGAATAGTGTAAATATTTTCATTGTCAAGACGATAAACACTCTCTTAAGTGATAAATTAAAAAATTTATAATGTTATATTTGTCATATATTTTAATTAATAGTGGTGAAGGGTGCAGGCTATGGAGCCAGACTGCCTGGATTAACATCCTCTCCCACTTACTAGTCCTGTCTTCAATAATTTACTTAAGCCCTTTATCCCTCACTTTTCTCGCCTATAAAAGCAAAATAATAACAGTATTCATCTTATTTTATTTCTAGGAAGACTATATGATGTGATGCATACAAGTCTCAATATCTAAGTACTCCATAAGTATTTGCAATAATTATCTTTGCTGAATCTATATATCTATAGAAGCAGTATGATTTCATCAGGAGCCAAATTTGTAAAAACCATTAGGATTGGGTTTGAACAAACTGCTTCTGAGAGTAATTATATACATTCACTCTGTTGCCTCCCTAGAAGATTGTGTATTATAATTTGCTTTTTGATACTAAAGAATATATTAAAAATATGTTTTTTCATCTTTTGTCCAAACAGTTTCAAATTTGGCCTGTCTGCATTGTAAATTTTAATCTCACAAATGTTTTTGATATCTGACATTATTAAGAATCACCTGTAAGTTAGAGCAATTATACTTGAAAATTATGAACAGTGATGTCAATATTTGATTTTATTGATGTGTTTCATGTTATTTCAAACATTAAAGAAACTGTGTCCATCTTTGTGCTTTACCTTGCTTTCTCTCTCCTCTTCCCGTAACACACAGAATTTATCAGGAGACAACACATAAGATGAATCATGTTGTAGAGGATATGTTTATTTGCAAAGAAAGAAACTCGCAATGTCCTAGTCAAGTGAAATAATAGCCATAAAAAGTTTAATATATAATGTTTCTTATAATCATAGAGGTACAGGTTTTGTTACACTCAACAAGAGGGCAGCTTGGAAATTACTTCAAGTGTAGTGTATTATGGCTGAAGTTCTTTTAGGCAGTGTACTGTTTATATTTTTCTGTTAGAATTCTTCATGATCTTCTCATTTATAGATGATCCGAACTACCACTGCTTGTCATTATAGTTTAAGTATTTGATGTTATAAAGAATGTCATATTAAGCTCTATTTTATTATAAGTCAGTATTTCCAGGGCTAGGTATTGCTGTTCTGAGAGCTTTAAGCCAGATAAATTGTCGTTTTTGTTTTAACTTTATATCTTGCCTTTTGGAGTATATGTGCCCAAGCTACAGAATTTTAATTTGTTATTTTAATCTGATTTTCACATTAATGTCTTGACAATAAGTGTCTATTCATAGAGGTAGGTCACTAGCCATGATGCAGGTGGACATGGTGGGAGAGCATCCTGGCCTGTTGCCTGTGATGATAAGCACACCCTTTTTATCATTATTCATACTTGATCCAGTTTTTTCCTAAATGTTGGAGAATGCATGCTCCCCGAGCAGAGAACGAAGAAACTCATGCTGTCATTCTCTTACTGTC